TCACAGGCCAGGTTTATTTCTGTGCACTGCTCATCCGCACGCAGACCCAAAATACCTCCTCTCGAGTCCGTGGAGACTTCTCTCAACGGCGGTCAGGGAGCTGGTGCCACGGCCGCCTCCTTGGGAAAACGCGCTCCTCTGTTGACGTGAGCAACGGGGTCTCTCCCAGGGAAACATCTGGCGGACTTGGGAAAGGGGTCATGGGACCAGCTCAGCAGGAACACACGGGGGATGTTTCAAAACACGGTGCCCAGCTTGACTGCAGCCTGCCCCAGTAGGAAGAAGGTGGGGGGCGCCAGGGCCCCCTTTCCAGTCAGAGGCCCCAGAGCAGTGAGAGCTGTCCTGACTTGGGCCCCTCATGCTGGGGAGTCTGGAGGCCACGGATGGGCCAGGGCCAGGGCCATGGTGCAGGGATTCTGCAAGGGGACAGAGTCAGGGTTCCCACAGGGCCCCCAACTAAATTAAGACACTGGCAAGAGACACACGTGTGTAATGAGATGTGAGCCCTCGGCCTTGGGTTGTGAAAGGATTAGATGGACGACAAACCAGAAAGGTTCTGCCAAGGACAGGAAGCTACTAAAGCACGACACGGCCAACTTGGAAATGGACTTAACAGAACTTCCAGAAACAAAGTGTCACAACGAGAATGAAACACTCCACAGACATGTTGGAAAATACTCAACCCCTCCAAGAAAAGGAAGACACGTGGGGTGGAGCAGGGGGATGCTGGTAACCAGGCTCTCCAGAGAGAAAAAATAAACCCCGGCCTTGGTCTGCAGTTGTAGCATCTGCCCATTTCCGTGGTGTAAATACTCCCGCCATGGCCTACCACAAGCCGCCAAAGGGTTAGCAACCAGTTGGCAGGCTCCTGATGAGCCAGAAAGAGCCAGAGTGGCATGGACTCCATCACAACGTCCACCTGGGACCTGGGTGGGGCTGTGCAACTGCCTTGGAGGGTTTTTAAAGACTTGGCTTTCAAAAGAATGTCCACTGTCCTAGGAGGTCTTGCTCAGTGGTTAGAGTGCCGGCCCGTGTGGGAGGCAACTAATGTGTGTGTCTCTCTCTCCCTCCCTTCCACTCTCTCTGAAAAGCAATGGAAGAAATATTCTCCAGTGAGGATTAAAAAAAAAAAATTAAAAAGCCTGGCCGGCCGTGGCTCAGCGGTTGAGCATGGACCTAGGATCCAGGAGATCGCAGTTCGATTCCCAGTCAGGACACATGCCCGGGTTGCCGGCTACATCCCCAAACGGGGGCGTGCAGGAGGCAACCGATCAATGACTCTCCCTTGTCATTGATGTTTCTATCTCTCTCTCTCCCTCTCCTTTCCTCTCTCTGAAATCAATATATAATTTTTAAAAATATTTAAAAATAAAAAGAATGTCTAGGATACACTTTAAGAAAAGTGTGTTTCCACAAACCAAGGCAGGCCCAAAGGAAGTCAGGTGGGTGTGCGAAAGCATCAGCAGAAGACTCAAAAGACATAAAACCTTTAGTGCAAAGAAATGAATGTGTAATAGTGGAATTATGAATGGAGAAAAGACGGCTTTGGGACTAGACTAGAGGTCCCTAACATCCCGCTAAGGGAGAGGCCCACCAGGGAGGCACTAAGCCTGGAAATAAGGGGGGGCTGGAAACTGCATGGTTCAGGGCAAAGAACATAAGGTTAGGAGCCGGGCCCCAGGTTCGAGAGCCAGTTCTGCCCCTGTTAGGCCCTGTGGGTCAGTTTCCCTGCTTCAGTCCTGAGCCTCAGTTCCTTTCTTTCCACCTGTAATGGGATCAATTCCTGGACCACCTACTCATGGTGGGGTTAGGGGGCTCACACGGGGTGGGGTGGGGTTTGCTTCCAAGCTGACAAGTCCCCTCAAAAATGTTTGTCACTCATTTGTTTTTATGTATCACAATGTTGGGATTAGACCCCAGGTTCCTCAAAGTTGAGGACCCCCACCCCCAATGCTGGGGGCTGTGAGGAAGGGCTGCCAGGAGGGGCTGTCCCCACCCCTCCAGTGCCGAGGGCCCAGCTCTGTGGCCACCACAGTGAGCCGAGCCCCAAAGCCGCCTGGGACACCTGCCCACGCCCTCAAGGCCTCAGCTGGAAACTGTAAGAATCATGTCCCCTCCCTGGGACCATGACTACAGTGGCCCTACCCCTGTCACCTGGCGGTGTCTCCACCTGCAGGGAGACCCTTCCCCCCAGATCTCCTTCTGGTTCCCAACAGGCAGGAGGAAGGGTGGGAGCTGAAGTCCCCTGTGACCGTGAGCACAGCCGTCTGTGCCCCGGGGCTGGAGGCGAGGGGTGGTAACTCCCTCAGCCCTCTCCCACCACTTCCCGAGAAAGGAAGTACCGTCATCTCCATTTTACAGATGGGAAAACTGAGGTCCAGCAGGGGAAGCCCCATGCCCGAGGCTGCTCAGCCAGGAAGCGGCCAAGGGGCTCTGAGCCCGCGTGGGGGGCTCCTAGTCAGCGTCTTCACCGGCCCGTGACCTACCCTCTCCCGGGCTTGGTCTGGAAGCTGCCTCCATTCTCCCTCACTCGTTTCTCAAAAGGACAGTAATGAGGATGGGACACAGATGTCGCCGAGGGACGGACCACACCGGCTCCGCGGGAGGAACCCGAGCCAGCCGGCCAGCCGGGCGCACGGCGGGGCCCCGACGGCAGCGGGAACGCCGCCGGCAGACCTCCCAGGGCTCCAAGGTCCGCGGCCCTCGCGGTGCTGCCAGAGCCGGGGTCAGGTTCAACCTCGGGGCAGCGCAGGCCCCGCCACCCCCGGCACACACGGCCGGAGAGCAGTGTGTGGCCTCCTCGGCAGCGGCCCACGGACATGAATAATGTCCCGCAGGCTTTGAGGCCCGACTGGAAAAATGCTGATGGGCTTCAGTTGAGAGGAAACATGTTGTCCGTTTGATGGGAATCCTGGACACTGACCCCACTGCTGTGGGAGGGGGAGATGGAGATGGGGGGGGCACTTTCCTTCAGAAGGAAGGCGGGGCCTCCTGCTTCAAGGACCCTTTTTCTTCCAGTCATTTCCTATCATAGGTGCCGTCCTGGGGGCCTCTTAGGCCCCTCATGTGTGGAATCTTTAAGGGTTGTCCTCTGGGTCAAGGTGCCAAAGGGTCCCCCAGGGTCTCCCTCTTCCAGGCATCTGGGGGGGCAGTTTTTGAATTGGGGTTCTCTGAG